CCCCCAGGCCTCTAACACCTTTTTTGGTTTGGCCAGGGACTCCTTTTTGACTCTCTCTCTCACTTCTTTCCTTTATCTGATTCAGCTAGTCTGGCCGTCTGCCCTAGAGCCCTCTATGTGGTTCACTATCCCTAATCTCCCAATTCCATCTCTTGCTTCAGGTCTTTACCATTTTCAAGGATGACCCTATCTAAAATGACATTCCCTCCCCTCCCTTGCCCTGTTTTATATTTCTGCATAGCCTTTATCACCACTAGATGTGTTACAGATTGATTGACTTATTGACTTTATTGTTATAGATTTATTTATAGCCTTCACCATCCCATCCCAAGACACAAGAATCTAAGCTCCAGGAAGGCAGGGACTATTTTGTTCACTGCTTGATCCCTTGTGCCAAGAACCTTTCCTGATCATGGGAGGCACTAAATACACATTTATCGAATAAAAGTGACTGTTGGTTTGCAACCTGGGGAGTTCCCTGGATGGAATCTAAAACTGGCCCCTGTACATAGAGGGTGAGGAGAGATGGAAGAAACAGGCAGATCATTCCGGACTGGTAGGTGGAAGGTTTAACAAGTAAGAACACTTACAAAGCTTGTCCTATGTGGCCACAAGTAGATTTCTTTACCCACCAGAATTTTAAGAGTTTATATGTAGACCTTAAGTAGGCTCAGTCACAGATGCTGTTCAGATGGTCTCAACAATACATTGTTTTCTCAAGGCTTCGTCCTTGAAGACGGCTCCTTCTGTGAGAATGATGGATACAGCATACATTCCAAGGACATGGGAGGAGGTGAGGTGCTTCCTAATGCCTGGGTCCAACTCAAGGGTCAATTAGTAGTTGTCCTCTCAATGCCCTCCTCTAATAGTGACTCAGTGTAGGCAAATGAGACTGTATGTCCGGATGTTTCATGATATTTCCTTACAGTCTTTGCAGTTTGCTTCTGCAAACTGGTCCTCTCATAAAATACAATTTAAGATGTCTCCTGCAAGAAGTCTGGCCTCAGTGCCTTTGTGGCTGTATAACTTTCCATCCTTGACTCCAGGGGATGATCCAGATTGTGTGGGGCCAGAGGCTTATACACTTTTGGAAGACCTCTTTAAGAATATAAAAAACACACAATTAAGTGTGATAGCATTTATTTTGTTTGGGAAAATAAACCACAGCACATTACTGGAATCTTGGAGATTAGTTTCCCTCCCTTTTGAGATCTCCATGAACAATTTACCTGAAATGTTTCTTGATGGCAACCTGACTGCTCCTCCCTACAGGGACTACCAATTCCAGCTTTTCCTGTACTCAGCTTCACGGTAAACCCTCGCCTCCCGCTCTTGACCCCTTTTCTCCTGTCCACAGAGCCCATCCTCTGGCAGCTCACAAGTAGAGGTCTCCTCCTCCTCCTCTCTCCTACAAACTTGCACATCACTGTTTTTCTTTTCTTTTTTTTGGAGGGGGGGCGGTGTGTGTAGAGTATCCCACGGGAGCCATGAGACATGGTGTCTGTCGTCACTTTCTCATATGTTCCTGAAACACAAGACCCCAATTTTCACATCTGTGAAATGGGGACTTGGACAGAGTTGTCCCGTGGCCTCCCACGTGAGGATCCTCAAACCGGGGGGCGCCAGGAGGGATCCAGGGACGCCGAGCCCTAATTTAAGTGCTGCCCTGTGATCCCCACCTCTGACACCGAAATTTATTAAAGAAAGCCAGGTATTCAGACTTTGAAGCCGTTTCCTGGATGACCTCGCTGAAGCCAATGTTTCTCTCAGGGTCTGGAGGGAATCGTGAAAAGGGCTTTTAAGCTCGCCTTGCCCTCTTCTTACCAGTATCTGTGTGGCTGGGATCTGGAAAGGTTTCCCCCATTTCCCAAGTGTCTGAATTGCGGTTCCCTCCGTCAGCAGGACACGCCCCATCCCATAAGAAATCTCGCGAGAATCCCGCGCCAAACAGAAGTTGAGACTTTTGGCCTTTCTCGGGTTTCGTAGCTCCGAGTCTTAGTGCCTGAACTAGTGTTTCCGGGTTGCGTCCGAGAAAACCTCGGCGGTGTTGGGAGTGAAGCTAAAGCCTGGAGGACTGAGTAAGTGGGGGACCGAGCAGAGCCTAAGTGTCCTCTTTTAGTCTCCTTCTTTGATTCCTCGAAAACCCTGGAGTAGCTTAGCAAGAGAGCCCAGGGTTTCTGGATGGATCGCCAGCCCTATGACTCAGGGGCTCCTGTCAGTTTCTTCTCCCGGGATTTTGATTTCAGTTCAGTGAGTTCATCGCTCCATCTGAGAGATGAGGAAACGGAGTCTTAGAGCACAGCCCCGAGGCTCTGTCTACCAGGCTCCATCTCCTCCCTGCTCTATATCCCCTGTCTTGGGTCCAAGGCCCCATACAAATATCGGCTTCAAGGACATCCACCTCAGTCACCCTCATCCAGGGTCTGGAGGGCATCGTGAAAAGGGTTTTTAAGCTCGCCTTGCCCTCCTCTCCCCAATATCGGTGTGGCTGGGATCTGAAAAGATTTCCCCCATTTCCCAAATGTCTGAGTTCGTCTGGTCTCCCTGTCTGCAGGCCTAGCTAGGCAGCATGGCTGTATTCCGGTCGGGCCTCTTAGTGCTGACGACGCCTCTGGGCTCCTTGGCCCCTCGCCTGGCTCCTATCCTGACGTTGGCGGCTCGGCTGGTGAATCACACGCTCTACGTACATCTGCAGCCGGGCATGAGCCTGGAGGGCGCAGCTCAGCCCCAGGCCAGCCCCGTACAGGCCACGTTTGAGGTTCTTGATTTCATCTCTACCCTCTACAGTGGTGCCAAAGTCCACACTCACCTGGACGTCAGAATCCTGCTGACCAATATCCGAACCAAGAGCGCCTTTCTCCCTCTCCTGCCCAGCCCAGTCCAGAACCTGGCCCACCCGCCGGAGGTGGTGCTGACTGACTTCCAGACCCTGGATGGAAGCCAGTACAACCCCGTCAAGCAACAGCTAGAGCGTTATGCCACCAGCTGTTACAGTTGTTGTCCACAACTGTCTTCAGTGCTACTAAACCCCGATTATGGAGAGCTACCCGTGGGATCCCTGGACGTCCCCTTACCCTCCACCATCAGGCCATCCTCCCCCGTGGCCAGATCGCCAAAGCAGCCGGTGCGTGGCTACCTTCGTGGGGCTGTGGGTGGCACGTTTGACCGCCTGCACAATGCCCACAAAGTGTTGCTCAGTGTTGCGTGCATCCTGGCCCAGGAGCAGCTTGTGGTGGGAGTAGCAGACAAAGACCTGTTGAAGAGTGAGTGAGAGAGACCCTGGATTAGGGTGGTGGAGGACCCCCAAAGCTCCTTGCACCTGCCAGTGCCAAGATTGAGAAAGGGTGGGGCCATCCATTGCTTTCCACTCCTTCCAAATGTCACAATGTCTGGCACTCAGTGCTAAAGAAATTTTGTTAAGTGAATAAAGGTAGCTTTCTCATTGTGTATTCTAATCAGTCCTCACTCAGAACCCCCCAAAAGCCAAGGAATCTACACTTTTAACAAGTTCTCTGGGTGAGGAACTGTAAAGTTTGAGGCTGTGGGAATAAATCGATGAGTGAATTGTAGGCAATAGTGGCAGAGACAGTAAGAGGGGACTTGATGACATGGTTAGCATCTGTTTGGCTTTGATGCTATCTGGCACTGCTAGTTCTCATGCCAGCCCTTGCAGTGACTATTGTGCTTGCCTGCTGCCTGCCTGCCCTTCATAGCTTTCCCATTACAGACCACTTCCCAGTTTAGCCCTTTCTTCCTACTCCCCCATAAGATGCTTAGGGATACTCTTCCTCCCCAATAAAAAGATCTCACTGTTCTTGGCTCCTTCCTAAGGCAAGTTGCTCCCTGAGCTGCTCCAACCCTACACAGAACGCGTGGAACATCTGAGTGAGTTCCTGGTGGACATCAAGCCCTCCTTGACTTATGATATCGTCCCCCTGCTGGACCCCTATGGGCCCGCTGGCTCTGACCCCTCCCTGGAGTTCCTGGTGGTCAGCGAGGAGACCTGTCGTGGGGGGATGGCCGTCAACCGCTTCCGCCTTGAGAATGTAACCCCTGAGGGAGACTGGCAGAGGGAATGGATGGGGATGGGGAAGGACATTGTGGGGGGCTGTTGGAAGTACCATAACCCCAGAGGAGGGAAGAGAGGGCTCAAGGTAGTGGAAGGAGGCAAGGAGGAACTGGTTCCCAGGTTGCCCTCTGAGGCAAGCTTTACCTCTGGGGTAAGTAGGGGAGGATAAGGGGGCAAGTTGTTCTTCATCTCATCCTTCCTCCTTTACCTCAGGACCTGGAGGAGCTTGCCTTGTACCAGATCCAGCTCCTGAAGGACCTAAACCACAAAGAAAATGAAGAGGACAAAGTCAGCTCCTCTAGCTTTCGCCAGAGAATGCTGGGAAACCTGCTTCGGCCACCATATGTAAGCATGTACTCCCTCCCTGCTGCCTGCTTGGGTGTGCTGGAATTGCTGAAGGGTTCAGCCCTAAGCGTGAACCTGAGGTCCCTAGTAACTGTAGGGTTCCCTCTCTACCCCCAGAAGAGGCCAGAGCTCCCCTCATGTCTCTACGTGATTGGGCTGACAGGCATCAGTGGCTCTGGGAAGAGCTCAGTAGCTCAGCGGCTGAAGGGCCTGGGAGCATTTGTCATTGACAGTGACCAGCTGGGCCATCGGGCCTATGCCCCAGGTGGTCCTGCCTACCAGCCTGTAGTGGAGGCCTTTGGAACAGGTAATAACTGGAAAGGGCTGGAGGAGGCCTGAAGTGAGGAGATGGCATGGTCTCCTAGCCCAGTCCTCTGTCTTTGTTGTCCAGATATTCTCCATAAAGATGGCATTATCAACAGAAAGGTCCTGGGCAGCCGGGTTTTTGGGAACAAGGTAAACACACACCCCTGAGCTGCTATAGACCTAGGGGTTGGGACCTAGTGAACCTCTCAGGTCTGGCTCAGAATGCCAATTTCCATTTATTTATTCCCAACTACCTCTTCCCTCGGCTGGCTCTGTCTCCGAGGAGAGGTAACCACTGCCCAATCCCTCTGTTTTCCTCAGAAACAGCTGAAGATACTCACAGACATTATGTGGCCAGTTATTGCAAAGCTGACCAGAGAGGAGTTGGATCAGGCTGTGGCTGAGGGTGAGTACAAGGGATAAGGGGAGTGGTTAAGGGTCACAGTTAAACAGATACCCCCCGGGAGTTTCCCCACCCCAGGCTAGACCATCCACTTTCCCAGGGACTATGTATCATTGGCTCTCTCGACTGGTAGCAAGTGCAGGGTGCTACTGACAGTAACTGGGGTCTCCCCACAGGAAAGCATGTGTGCGTGATTGATGCTGCCATGCTACTTGAAGCCGGTTGGCAGAACATGGTGCATGAGGTGTGGACTGTTGTCATCCCTGAGACTGAGGTATTTGGACCCCACTTGCCACGTTAACCCCATGGTGTCTGCAGATTGCATCCTGCTCTTAGCCAATGCGCTGACACATGTTATGTCTGCGCCCAGGCTGTACGACGAATTGTGGAAAGGGATGGCTTGAGTGAGGCTGCGGCTCAAAGCCGGCTACAGAGCCAGATGAATGGGCAGCAGCTTGTGGACCAGAGCCATGTGGTGCTGAGCACCTTGTGGGAGCCACACATCACCCAGCGCCAGGTTGGTGTCCAGGGACAGGCTGAATTGTGGGGAGGAGTCTCCAGTGGGTGCCTGCCTGACCCTGTCCTCTCTTCCTCTCAAATTCTGGCCTGCCCAAAGGTGGAGAAAGCCTGGGCCCTCCTGCAGAAGCGCATCCACAAGACACCAGCCTATGACTCACAATGAGTTTTCTGTGGGGCTAGATTGGCCCCTGGAGCTGACAAGAGATCCAGCGGTGAGGAGGAATGGGGGCCTCAATGCTCACCCTGGCTCACTAAAGGCCTCTGAGCTAAACAGGGCAGGGCCGGGCAGGGCTGGGCCGGGTCTGGTGGAAACAGAATGCCTACCCAGCTTGCTGGTGTTTGGCCAACACTGAGGTTGTGGCTCATGGGGGAGCAGGCCTCTCTGGCATTCCAAACCCAGTCTTGCCTACAGGTGTCTGTGATACCTATGGCCGACGGGCTGGGACAAACACTGGAACTTGTAAAAGAATTAAAGGTGAATGTCTCCAGGTGCTGTCTGTATGGTGTCTGCTTCCTGCTCTAATGCCTCTGAGTATCTCTGTACCCTTGAGCGACAAGTGCAGGGGTCAGGCCTGAGATGAAAGTCAGGAGAGCAGTGGTTAAGAGCATGGCCTTTGGAGCTAGCCAGACTGTAGCTAGCCTTGGCCCTATCACTGACTAGCTGCGTGCTTTTGGAGAAGTTACAGACTTTGTAGGTGCCTCAGTTTCCTTGTCACTAAATTAGCATAACTTGGCTAACAGGCTCTTTGAAAGCGTTAATTTCACAAATATCCTGCCAGACGCTGGGCTGGGTGTTAAGAGGACCATTCTTCAACAAGCCAGGCGCGTCTGTCATCCCAGAGCTTGCAGCCAGGCGAGGTGGGACAAGGTGGCTAGGAATACAAGTGGTGGTCAGGATGGTGGCTGGGAGCGCGAGCCTGGGGTTAACGCGCCCGGGACGCGGCAGTACGCATGCGCAAAACTATGTGCGACACTATTAGGACAACCCTTTTGAGAGGGCCCCATTCCACAGAATGTGCTTCATGTCACCCCGACTGCAGAGTGCCTACCCCAAGGGAGGGAGGGACTGACAGCGAGAACGGTCCCAAGGCCACCTGTGTCAGACTCGGCCCGCTCAGTGCGTATTCGCCGTCTCCGGGCTGCGCAAGCGCGCCATCCTCGCCCCGCCCTTCGCCGCTCGGTCTCAGGTTGGTGGGTTTGGGTCACGTGAGCACGCATAGCCTTTTCCTCGCGGTTGGGGGCCGCCCTCTCGCTGGTTTCCGGTGCGGTGGGTCGGAGATGACGGAATCCAGCGCCTCTCCGGAGGACCCCTGGGTCAAGGCAAGCCCCGAGGGCGCGTACGCCGATGAAGGGAGGGCGGGTTGGGTGTGTTCACGTAGGGGGTTTGGAAGATGAGGGGAGTCTCTTCGGTCCCCAAAGTCTCTCCCGCTCTTCTGGCCCCGGGGCTGCAGAGAAGACAGCTCTCTCCCAGCCTCTGCCAAGGTGGGGAGATGACTGAGACGTGCGCGCGCGCGTTAGAGGTGACGGGGTTTGGGGCTGGGGAGGTGGAGGACTGGGGCGGGTGGGGTCACTCCGGCGGTCGGCGCTCCGGTGGCCTAGCCAGCTTGGCTCTGGGGGGAATCCTTCAGTTGCGTGCGCACGTACCTGTGCGCGCAGGTGCATGCTGAGTGAATGGAGGCGATTTCCCCAGGGGCAGAGGTCTGATAAGTTCCCTTGTTTGATGCCGCAGGTGGAGTATGCCTACAGCGACAACAGCCTGGACCCCGGTGAGTGCCTTCCCCACCGTCTTCAGCTCGAGAGTGACACTCCTACTTCAACCCTATAGATTTATGTGGCCATGCCAGCCACACCTGACCACAGTCCACTGTCCCTGAGCCAGAAACGGTGAGGGAGGAGCTGGAGGACAGAGACAGGAAGCATCCAATGATGATACCTAGTTTCCTCTGCCCTTAAGTAGTGAGGTGATGGAAATAGTGATAGCTGGTCAGTCTCTCACCGTCATCATGTCTGGATGTTACTTCAGGAGCCAGCGGGTATCACTGCAGGCCTGTGGAGCAGTGTAGACACTAGGGACAGGAGCGTTGCAGCATGGCACCACAGGAAGTAGGTGGCCCAAATATGGCTGGCTTTTGGGTTGAAGGGGAAAGGTCAGCATTTAAGGATCAGGAAGCCATTGTGCCCACAGGTGTCTGAGGGCCTAGCAGTGTCCCCAAACCCTACTCCTTAGTGATTGAGGCCTCTCTTTTCCAGGGCTTTTTGTAGAAAGCACCCGCAAGGGGAGTGTAGTGTCCAGAGCTAATAGCATCGGTTCCACCAGTGCCTCTTCTGTCCCCAACACAGGTAGGCAGCAACACCCCCCCCCAACCTGGGGGGGCTCAGATATTCCATCATTTTAGTATCTTTTTAGATGGAAAGCTCCAGCCATCCACTTGGGGATGCTAGAGCCCTAGTACTAGACACAGGGTCTTACCATCTTTAACCTCATTTAGAATATTAGGGTCCCACGTCTGGGTACCAGGTTATTCCCAGTTAGGAAGGTGGACTAGCTGGGTCTCACTGGGCCCCAGAATGACCTCTTCCTGCCCCCGACTCTGAGCATAGATGACGAGGACAGTGATTACCACCAGGAATCCTACAAGGAGTCCTACAAGGACCGGCGACGGCGAGCACACACTCAGGCTGAACAGAAGAGGAGGGATGCCATCAAGGTGATTGGGGGGCCTGCACCTCAACCAGCACAGGAGGGCCCTGCATATTTCAGATTCACTGTGCCCTGACCCCATCAGATAGTCCCATGCAGCCTTGGGGGCAGCTAGTCTAGTCCCTGGACATGAACACGTCCCTCTTCCTAGTCTCTCACCCCTATTTTGTGAGCATGGAATTTGGTGTCATGGAAGAGAAGCTTTGTGCTAGTTTGCTTTAACCCCTCAGAGTTAAGGAACCCATTTCTCTCGCTCTCTCCACAGAGGGGCTATGACGACCTTCAGACCATCGTCCCCACCTGCCAGCAGCAGGACTTCTCCATTGGCTCCCAAAAGCTCAGCAAAGCCATCGTTCTACAGAAGAGTATGGCCAGGGAGAACACTGGAGGGGTTGGAACCAGTGGGGCCGTGAGAAGGCTAGCCTCATACCCACTGTCAGCCTGGCCCTGGTGGGGTGGTTATAATGGGAGAGTTGGGTATGGGGAAAGGGGAAACAAAATAAGCCTTGTCCTTCTAGTTGACACTTCCTCTGTGCTCACCCCCTCTTCCCACCCCCACCCTAGCCATTGACTACATCCAGTTTCTGCACAAGGAGAAGAAAAAGCAGGAGGAGGAGGTGTCCACACTACGTAAGGACGTCATGGCTCTAAAGATTATGAAAGTGTAAGAGGGGTGCTGAACTAGGGGAACCAGAGCTTCCGAGGGGACTCTGAGGCCAACTTCAGTTCATACTCTCCTCTTTGTTCAAATAATACTCTCACTCCCTCAGGTGGCCACTTAGATAATATCAGATAATACTCTCACTCCCTCAGGTGGCCACTTAGAGGCAGGACTCTGTACACCAACAGTCCCTAACATATAACCTCATTTAGAATATTAGGGTCCCACGTCTGGGTACCAGGTTATTCCCTGAAAGGAAGGTTGGAGAAGATAGGTCTCCATTTTTGACCTCGAAGCAGGTTCTAGCTGATATTATATCCTAGAAGCTCTCTAGGAATCCCTTTCCAGGGTGGGAGATAAGTAAGGTGATCCTATTGTTCTTCCTGGGCTGGTAAGGCAGCTGCAGCATCTTATCCCTGGCCTGCTTTCTTTCAGGAACTATGAGCAGATTGTGAAGGCACACCAGGACAACCCCCATGAGGGGGAGGACCAGGTCTCTGACCAGGTCAAATTCAACGTGTTTCAAGGCATCATGGACTCCCTCTTCCAGTCTTTCAATGCCTCCATCTCCATGGCCAGCTTTCAGGAACTGTCAGCCTGTGTCTTCAGCTGGATTGAGGAGCACTGTAAGCCTCAGGTATGGAGCAGCAGTGGTCACTGGGTCTGCGGTCTTTTCCCCACTGTCAGGCAGAGTGGCCCAACCCATTTTCTGAAAAGCAGGCAGCAGCTTTTAGGTTTCTTAAGGATTTCTACAACTCCCACTATTCTAGTTTCTCTGTTCTCTGCTCTCTGAAGCCCAGATTCTCCTATTAAGGTTTCATTTGGCAAGTATGACTGAGCACTTACTCCTTCAAGGCCAAGATCAACCTTAGTTTAGCCCATGTTATCGCCGCCTTGGTCACTCCTTGGCTGCCCAGTATGTAAGCCCCCATCACTTACAGCAGAATTACTTGGGGTTTTCCTGGCTCTCACCTCCAGGCCTAAAAAGTAGTTTTTCCCAGCTTATTATTTGTATTACACTGAGTCTTTTGCCTTTGAGGCCTGATTGCTTTTTCTGAGGCTTGAAATTGTATCAGATTCTTGTTCTTTTTTGTTTCCCAACATTTTTATTGTGAGACACTTTAAACATAATGCAAGATTGAGAGAATTTTACAACGAACATTCATATACCGGCCACCTAAATCCTGCCATTTTCTGTATTTTCTTGATCACGTAATCATCCCATCTCTCCACTGTTTGGGGGCATTGCAGAGTGAACTTTAGACATTTGCTTTTCAGGGGCTTTTTTCAATTGTACTCAAAAGAACACACCTCGTTTAGGCAGGTGTCATGTAGACAGTTCTGCCTTCACTTGAGCATTGTCTCTTCTTTTCCTGCCCCCACCAGACCCTACGGGAGATTGTGATTGGCGTCCTACACCAACTGAAGAACCAGCTTTACTGACTGGCCCTTGGAACCTGCAGAACAGCCAGCAAGAGGCCTTAAGTCTCCTACTTAGCCACAGAACTGCTGGGCTTGAAATTGGACTGCGACACCATATACCAGTCAGCTCGTTTCTCCTTGGAGTTTGGCCCCTTAGCCCCTCTCATCTTCAGTGGGGCTAGGATGTTTGTTTTGTGAAAGCTTCTGATTAATTTATTATATTGACCATTGAGCTCGAACCTAGTCTCCCCTCTACCCACCATAGAAGTCCTTGGGATGGAGGTCTGCTCTGGATACCCCAGAGAACTCCTGGCCTCTCCCCTTTTTCTAAGCCTCAGATTTCAGCTCATGATCTACACATATTTGGAAACTACTGTTTGTCTCTGTTTTGGTCTCTTGGGCAACACTTGGCCCAAGTTTGGTCATTTTGGCAGTAGTCAGATGGGAGGAAAGGAGTAGAAATACTCCCACAGCCATGAAGGGTGAAAGGCCACTTTGTACCTAGGTTAGAGCTGCCTGGTTAGCCCAAGGTGAAGCCAGGGCTTTCTGGCCAGCTCAGGGCAGGGCTGCCGGGTTCTTGCCCTTGCCTCCTACTCTTATCACCCATCCCTCCTCCCCGGCTCTGGGTGGTACAGGGAAATAACCGCCCCCATCTAACCCTGCCCTGTCTGTCCCCAAAGGCAATAGCACTGCACAGCAAAGTCAAGTGTGACACAGTACCATTTATTAAAGTTTTATTTTTCTAAATACCAACAATACAATTTTGCTAAAGCTACAATTTTAGAAAATTAACTGGGCCTCAAAACCACGCCCAGCCTTTGTCGAATGTATCTGGGTTTCCACCGCCTCTTAGTGCTGCCTGCATTTCTCCTGGGACTTGGGGGTAGGTGAAAGGGTGAAGGGGTGGATGAAAGCCTCCTGGGGTACAGAGCCCAGGAGTCTGGGGGTGTGGTCCTGGACTCCATGAATACCATGTATAATAGCCTTTCTCTGCCTTGTCCCCCAAGCTCCCTTTTGCCTTCCTCAGGTTTGCTATCAGGAAGGTCTGATTATCCAGAGGAAATTAAATATTTTTATATCAAATTATAATAAATACTGCCAAATGCTTTCCTTTAGCGTTCCAAGTTCAAGTGTTAAGCTCAAGTAATTGAAATGTGGATGATGCCGTGAGCGTGACCATACACTCCGGGCAACCAGTGCTCACTCCCTTTGCCTGATACTCTGGTTCATGCCCCTCTCTCAATGCTCTGACCAAGGAAGAAAGCAGCAGGAACAACAAAAAAATTGGCCTAAATAGGGCAGCCAGTCTGGGACATTTCTGTCTCCATCCCCCAGTCCTGTCAGAGGGGTTCTCAGGGGTCTGGGAGCTTGACGTTGTAATCTTCATCTGTTTCTATCCCGACTTCCTCCTGCGAGACAATTGAGTTAAGATCTCCCTGGATGAAACCCCAGGAGAGCAAAGAAGGGAGAGAACCACTTACAAAGAACTGCTTCTTGCTCTTGGGGTATCCTTCAAGGATTGCATCACACAGCTCTGTTGCCTGACAAGAAACAAAACCACCCCTTTGCAGTTGTGCAGTACTTGGCAATGCCTGACAAATTCATGATATTGGGCAGCAGTTTTTCTAGGGGCTGCCATTTTCCAGGGCCTGCCTTGGAGCTCCTGTACTTACCATCCTCTTCCGCTTCCTCCACTCCTTGCAGTACTTCTGCCTCTCTCTGTCCACCTAGACAGGAGAAACAGGTTCCTCTAACCACTCAGCTGCTGCTGGGGTCAACCCTCATCCTCACTCTGCACAGGCAGCCCTCCCTAGGAGCCCTCCCAACCCACCTGCTCTTTCTCTTCTGGGGTCACATGGTTAGTGGCTGCTCTGATGTTCTTCAGTCTTTCTGTGTAGCCAGCACATTCCTTCTTTAACTCCTGGATCTCTTTCTGCATCTCAGGTGTGGTCAGGGCATTAGTTAACTCCTTCAACTCTGAAACCACATCTCCATGAGGTTACTTGCTACCCCCAAGGAAGGGATTCTCTCCCAGTGAGCACTCCCTGAGGTAGGGGACCAGGCCTCCACCACCTCCAGGTTCTACACAGTCCAGAATGGGCCCCTTATTTTAGAAATGCTCAGGAGAGATTAAGGCTTACAGAATTACCAGTTTATTCTAGTTTCCTTTTCCTTCATCTATAAGTGGTAGGGTGCAAGGCTGAACAAACTGTTAGCTGTAGCCAGTTAAAGGAGCAGGAATAAAGAGAAGTGTTGGAACAGTATACTGATAATCATGGCGGGGAAAGCAAACGCATGTCTTGCTCATATGTATTTCAAAATCCATTAGTTGTCATACATTTCTTTTAATGTAATGCCTATGGCAGCCCAGCAAAGGGGTCTTCATTGCAACAAGACATACTGCAGTCAACAAACCATTCACTTAGTAATGCCTGACCTTCAGACTGACCCTGACATTAGGATCACCCTCCAGGGACTACCCAGTCCTACCAGCCTCCATGTGGCGACAGCTCTGCTGCAAGCTTTGCACCTTGGCAGTGAGAGCCACGATTTTGGCATCCAGGCCTTGGAGGTCAGCATCACTCACCATGTCAAACTGGTCCTGCCAGAGACAAGAGGAAAAAGAGAAGTGGGTTGATGTATGGCACAGGATGGGAACCCATATCTGGAAAAGCAAGATTCGCATATACTCAAGAACATGGGACTTCCCAACCCTCTAAAGGGCCAGGTAAAATAGCAGGAGGGTACTTCTGAGAAATCATTGAGTTTAGTGCTGGGTCAGGCAAAAAGATATCAAAGTTGAAACCTGATGCCTGTCCTCAAGGGGCTTCTAGATTGGCAGGATACTGAATAGGGCAGAAACATCTTTCAATTTAGTAGTCAAACTTCTCACTGGGCTGAAGGAGTAAAGAAACATTCTTCCCAAAGTGGTGGCACCTAAATTATGGGCTTCTGTACTAGGAAGAATCTGAGCAGGCAAATAGGCATGGTGGGAGATTTAGTTAAGGGACTCCAGTAAAAGTCTGAGGAACCCCTCCCAAGACAGACCAGCTACTAGAAAAGAACTATGTTGGGGGGGGTCTTGTCAATTGGTGAGGGGGAGCAGGTTAGAAAGGATGTGAATGCCAGCCTCGGCAATCTGGACTCTACATTAAGGCAAGGGAAACCTTTAGAGCAGGAGGCAGTAAACGACATCCTGCAAGCCAAATCCTGCCAGATGCATATTTTTGAAAACAAAAATATATTGAAACACAGCCACACCTATTAATTACATATTGTCTATGGCTGCTTTTGCTCTACAGCAGTGGACTTGAATAATCAGGACAGTTGTATAGCTGTGACAAGAGGCCATCTGACCTGTAAAGCATAAAAATATTAACTGGCTGGCCCTTTACAGAAAAAAATCTGCCAGGTTCTCCTTTAGGGGATCTTTAATATAGTAACATAATGAAACGTATTTTAGGAAAATTAGCCTTGATGGTGGTTTGGTCTACTAGATGTTAGATGCTGTGAGGGTGCTAAGCAAAGAAAGATGAATGAGAAATGGGGTCTGCCCTAGAACAGTTTAGTGAGGGAGAGAAGTAAAAAGACAATTATAATACGGTATGCCTCAAAAGAAGCACCTGAAGAGGCAATGAGAGCATTCTGGGAGTTTCTGGAGGTGATGCCTAAGTGAAATCCTAAAGGTTGAATAAGAGGTAGCTGGGAAAGAGGCAGAAGAGGAAGGGACTAAAAAACTCCAGGCAGAGGAAGGACAACGATACAAAGGATACAGGAGTTAAACACATAAACAGTGAAGTATTAATGGATGGAGAAATGACCAACAGGCTGGAGGTAGCCTGGGGCCAAGTCTCCAAATGCCTTTTACCTGTTGAAGAGAGCACTAGGATTTTTAAGGAAATGGCATGATTAGAATTGTATTAACACAGATCACTCTGGTTGCAATGTTTAAGATATGTTTGAGGAGGCAAGGAGATCTATTAGGAGGATATTGCAATAGATGAGGAGTGCCTGAACTGGAGCAGCGATGGCAGATGGAAAGGAGAGGATGGATTCAAGAAGGGGAAAATCAGCTACACTTAATGACTAACTAAGCATGGGAAGCAAGGAAAGTTATGATTCCCTAGTCTCTGACTTGAGTGAACAATGGTTCCGTTAAGGAAGAAGAGGGAAGAGCTGGTTTAGGGTAGAGATGAGGCCTTCTGCCTTAGCAATGATTCCTGAAAGACATCCAGGTGGAGGTCTGGGCTGGAGATACAAAATCAATGTGTGTATTTAGGGAGGGAAGTGGAGACAGAAGGAAAGTCATATGGCAGATGGTGGTTCTAAGTGGAACTTCCAAGCGGAAATAGAACTTGGTAACAATAATTCAGGATTTTCTGTCATTTATCATATTTTAAATCTGGAAATCTTATGAAGTTTGGATCATAGTAAGAGGAGAACACACTTTGATTTAAAGGACGCCTGGGACTCCTTACATGGCGTAAGACAGCTGAGTTTCATGAGCTGCCTCAATTCTCCCATAGTTCATAGTAGGGGCTGATTTACTTAAAGTTGGGCTCTCACATGGTTGATAATCTGCGCATTTCTCTCACCTGGTCCGCAAAATATATTTTCTGCTTGCCATACATCTTCTCTTTGATCTTGCCTTGTTGGGCCAGCTGCTCCAGCGCCTTCACCACCGCCTGGCAGAGGGGAGGGAGCGGAGCAATCGGAAGAATGGCTTCGGGCCCGGGCAGCCAGTTATGGGTGGCAGCGCGCGACACGACTTAGGGAGGCTAGAATAGCAGCTTCGAGAGGGCAGCACCCCAGGCTGATTCAAGGGGTTCCAAGGGAAGGAATCCTGGGAGAGAGTCCTCACCGCCTTGCCCAGCCCGTGTTCCCTCTGCAGATTCCCGAACACATCCTGGGCGCTGTAGGGCCGGTTCTGTTCCTGCAGGTACCTCAGGAGGATCCCGGGGGCTACCGGGAAAGACGAGGCAGGGGAGGGGGGTTGCGCTCGGCCGACACCCCCTCACCCGCTCCCCTCCCGGTCTTCCCAGCGCCCACGGCCGGGTTACCTCCCGCCGCAGCTTCCGTTCGGCCTTTATTCATGGCCTTTCCCGCCGCCAAACTCCCAAAGCCGGACGTTACAGTTGTTCGGGGCAACGGCTCCTTCCGGCGACGGGAGGGGCGGGCCTCACGCGCTGACTGGCGGGAAGGGATGCCTCGAGGAACAGAGAGAGACCCTCCCCGGGCACCGTAGTTGATTTCGGCCCGGAGTTTGGGCGCGGGGTTAGACCCCTGCCTCCCGCGTCTCGGCGGAAGAGGCGGGGCGCGCGCTTCGACCCTCTCTCCCTTTCTCCCCCTCGGATTGAAGGCCGTAGTAAATGCCTTGAGGTTTTGAGACCAGGTCCCAACGGCGGCTGAGCGCTCGTGCGATCTTGGGCAGATCCGAATGTTCGAAGGGGAAGAAACCTCGGGGTCACCTCCCGCTGGGCAAGTAACTTGCTCAAGGTCACAGGACAGTTACCCACAGGGACATATCCTATACCACGGTCCAATGCTCTAAATCAGTTAGTCTTGTCAAATAGAAACAAGAGGAACTTGCAGGAGGGTGAAGACCTAATAAAATGCGTAAACGCCCAAGGAAAGCATAACGCCACCCTCATTTGCTCGTTTACCGAGCTCCGCACACAGGGGGCGCTCAACTCACGCTGTGGTTTTAAACTCCAAAGAGAGGTGGGGGGCGGGGGTGGGGTTGTTCTTAAGCCACAAAGTTTGAAGAGTTTCCTGTTGGCCGAGTCAATCTTAATGGCAACACCTGGTAGGTGCTTTCCACTCCTGCCCACAGTGGCCAGTGGGACAAAACCTAAAATAAGTATTTCTAGTTTCTAAGGTCAGCGGAAAGCCAAAGAGCAGCTGTCCCTGCAGCTCAATCCAGAGGAGGAGCGTGGTGTTTTTAAAGCCTTCTTGCCTAAAATCTCATTAGCTTTGAATAACACATTTAGGGGGCAATATCAAAAATCATAAATGATGGAACTGCAGGCTAGATGCCAGCCAAGAGTGCCAGTTGTCTGGGCTCTCTTGGGGAGGGCGTAGTGGCCTCAGACCATGGTGACTGTTCTGGAAAAATGGGGATGGGCAGGCAGGTCCCTTATACCTGGGCTTCCGCTTGAGACTGTCGCCTCCTCAAATTAATCACATCGAAGATTAACAAGAGACCTATCAAGGGTAGGACACCATTCAACATCAGTCTTTTAAAGGTTGTTCTCAAACAAGATTTATTCCCCAGCACCCCTCCCACCCCATCCCCATCCCAATTCACAGTGGAGGACTAAGGAGAATCAGAGCAGGATCCCCCCAGGTATAAGAAATACCTTCCAAAGATGTTGCTCTCCTTCCTTCCCTCCTTGCTAAATCTCAAGGCCTGAAACTACACACACTCATGCAAACACACAAAATCCCACTCCTTTCCCACACCTCATTTTTTTCCACATCAGAGCACCCCTGTAAGACATCTGGGCTCTGAGAAGAGATAAGGTGTTCAGTCTGTTTGAGAACCCTAAAGTGGGAAGATGCCATTACTGCTAACCGTCACACAAAGGTAAGTGACTATGAAACAGGCACCTAGCTCTTTTCCCTTCTCACTGTTAACTATTTTCACTCCCGGGCCTCTCCCTTGTCCATCAACCATGAACAAACATGTTAGCGCACTCCCACCTGCAGCACATGAAAATGGGCTCTGTCCAGCATCCCTCACCCAGATGTGGGGGTGTTGGGGGAGTGGTCC